GCTAAGAAAATTTGTGCGAATGACACATAAATAAAAGTGGCTTCCAATTTATCTCTTTTAACTAGGATAATACATGCACTATGCGCGGGTTAAAATGAATATGTTTGTGTATATTCGAATTTGTGGAGGGTAAAAAATGTGTATACATAAACAGAACATATTTCTAAGTAGTCCATATAGTTAAAAATTATCGAATACAATTTATATAGCAATCATTTGTAGTTGTAAGAAATCTCCGATTTGCTTAAAATATGTGAATTTGCGATTGTTTTATATAGAAATATGTTTCATTCGTGAAATAATTCAAAACAATAGTTCTTTGAATTTTTAGTTAGTAAAAATTTATCATAGCCATTTTAAGACCAATCATAATTTGTTATACTTAAAATAATATAGAGTTTACATGATTTATAAATGTATTTAATTTACATCTAAAGGATTAGTGCATATTTAAAAAAGAATTAGCCTACAAATTTCAAAGGATATTATAAAGTATTCTCAAACCATATCTCTTAACTAAACTGAAATTTTAAATCATCCTAACTTATTCAAATTCAAAATAATTATAATACATTACTCTCAAACAATATTTAGGTATTACAAAGATAGTTATAATATAATGTTCTCAAACAATATTTAGGTAAAACTAAAATTCTAGAGAAAAAACATGTGATCTTTTGAAGAGAATGATTAAAAATAGTGATAATAAACCAAAAATAAACCAAAACCAATCTAGCAAAGTAATTTAATCGACATTACATATTTAATTAAACCAACTGGTCATATCAAACTTTTATAGTTTTGACTTTTGACAACGCTTGTCCTTACTCGACGTAACATAAAAATGGTTTCATCTTCAAACATTTACTCCACTTCTAGGTACTCTTTGAGCAGTTCTTCGAAATCACGGTGGATTCTGACATGGAAGAACAATTATGTACACTAAATTACTATCACCAATAAAAACCCAAACAAATTTAAAAGATATAAGTAACAACAACGAAAAAAAATTTATAAGATATAACCAGCCATGATTACAAAATTCAAATCTCTTTGCTCATTTTTCTCGAACGGTATCAGATTCCAAATGGCATTTATCCACCTTGTCATGGTCAAATCACCCTCTTCATCTCCAACATCTTCAAGAGGTAGATGAACAAACTATTGTTGCATCTTTGTGAATTTCTAATTTAACATTATATTTATAGGAAATTCATTTTAAACAATTTTAGGTCTTTGTGAATCAAATCAAATCAAATCTTAACAGAATATCTAAATTTTAATTTTCAAATTTTAAATATATTTAAGGGTCCTATATTCAATGCGACATATTTAAAAAATAAAACCAGAATGATGCTAAAATCTCGCTTAAATAGGATATAGAAATATTTATTATCCACTTTTTAACTGATTTGATACTGAATCGAATAACTAATGCACACGAATTAAAAAAAAATGAAATAATTCAAAGAAAATATTCTAAAGTTAATTGATATCAAATCAAATTTAGAAAGAAAAAAAATTCACGTAATTAATTTAAATCAATTAGAAAAAAATAAATCACGTAATTGGTATATCATTTGGTTCAATTTACATGGTTTTCTTTCTAGGTATTCAATTTATGTATAATTAGACTAACGACAAAACATGCTTTGATTTGAATCAAATTTAAAAAACAATATATTTGATTAGTTAATGACATTGTTTACATTGATTGATGTGTATAATGAACTTTTATTTTTGTATGACGATGTTAAATGATTAATTTATCCACTTTTTAATATTAACATAATTGGTGTTAATTTATCATGTGAATGTATATGCATAATTTTTTTTTATCTAAGCTAATGTATTGTTACAATACGATTTACATTTTTTTTGTTTTGTAGATTATTACATGGTTTTAGGTAGAGTATAAGTTTTAATGATAATTTATTTAAAACCATAATTATTTGCATATTTTTGAAACATCGATGATAATAATTAGTCATATAAAATATTTCAATTGCATATTATTTTTCCAATGGTTCAATTTAGTTTGCTAAGGAATAGCATTTACTTTTGATTAATGGTTTAGACTGATTCATTAAATAAAATATACTCTCTAACTATGTTTGGAAGTAGGGATAACTTGAACCATGTCAAAATAAATGACTAAAATTTCTGTTTGGT